TTTTTCTTCTGCCTGGACCTCATTTGCCTTCAATCTTTCCTTGGAAGATTAAGTGAAGTATGCCATATTTTTCCGGGTGTTGCATCACATGTCCAAAATTTTAACTGTCATTTTTTTATGGTTTTGACTATTTCCCTTGGCTTCCCCAGGCAGCTTATCACCTCCTCATTTCTGATTTTGTCAAGCCAACTTATAGCTGCCTGTAAATTCACACTCCAAATGCCTCTAGTCTCTTCAAGTGACTTTCTGTCAGAGATCAACTCTCTACTCCGTAGAGCAGGATAGAAAAAATATAACATCTGACAAGCCTGATTTTCAACCTTCGGCTTGTGTCGTGACTGCAGAAGACCTTTTTCATTTTGAAGAATGCTGTTCAAACTTTCTCTATCCTTGTTTTTACTTCAGTGATCATATTCCAGCTTTATCTGTAGGTCTCCTCAAAAAAATATAAAGACATTCCAAGCCGTTAATGTGTCTGCAATAAAAGAGAATACATGTAGTTCGGGGTTCAACTGTTGGGTTCTTGATGCTCTCTGAAGGAATTTGGACTCCTCTATATTCTTTTCTGAAAAGTCAGGTCTAGGAACTCTGTCAGTCCTTGGGAAATAATGAGAAGGAACTCTTCCTGTGTGGGCAAAGAAAGCAGTAGGGGGGAAAAACTGGTTATGTGTTGCCACCTTGTGGGAGAAAAATACAAACCTCCTACAAATTCAAATTAGGATCCCAAATATCTGATCCCATACTCCCAAAAGTCTCAGCCAGAATACCATTGGTGAGGAATCTTGGGAGTGATTGTTCAGGAGGCTTCCTAGCCCTGCATTGTAAAAAAAGAAATATTGTCCAGAGATGGGGCACATTTCTGCTTGCCCAAGATGTCTAAAATTAAAGCAGGATGTGACACAAAGGTTTAGCATTTTTTCATTAGTTCCAGCTACTACTGAAGCCTCTTTGTGAACTCTCCATCTCTTCATTCAGTTCTCCAAAGAGTTGCTCTTTGTAATTGCAGGTCAGAAGATGGTGTGAAGGCAGGAAGATTCCACCTAGGTTTCTGGTGCTTCATTCAACATGGCAGTGCCAGTAGCGTGATTCATTTTTAATAGGCAGCTGGAAAGGGTCTGAAAGAAACAGTGCAAACATAGAAAAATATCCATGAGTATTGAGTGGGTAAAAATAGCTGACAGTAAAAATTAAAAGATTAGATTAGAGTTATACACAAAAGTGTGTTGAATGGTGGTGAATCAGATTTATTTCTTTGATTAGCATATTTTTGTATGTAATTATATTTATCCCATTTCTGTATGCCCATTGTGGGATAAAAAAAAATAGATCTCTGCTCTGAAGAGCTTAAAACAATTAAATTGCTTAAAGATATTCCTATGAGTTCAAGGTCCGCACCAGACTTGGCTTTTGAAAAGTAGGTGATCCAAGGCCTATTTTGATGGAGTATCAGGAGTTTTAATGAATGAAATGAATTATTTAAATATTTGCAGGTCTTAGGACTCCCATTTTGCCCTTAAAAAAATCCCCAAAATGAAAAAGGTCACCTATTTTGGGCATTCTGAGGGCGATAAAAGGAACCACTAGTGATGTTGCTCCAAGAAATCCATTCTTTGCACCCTTAGTTTACAATCCAAAATTTTTGCAGATGAAAGGTAGATAGAACTGTTTTTTTTTAAAGGAAAGTGGACTGCTGAGATCATCCACACCATAATAGTTCCCCATGTGGAAAATTTTAATCTAAGACTTTTCTATGAGAATATTCAGTTCCAAGTCTAGGTGAAGCACTTTTAAATATATAAATATTAATAGATATTCTGTCATGAGTGTAAACCTGACACATACTTAAGAGGTTACTGCTCTCCAATACATGAAGGTTCTATGATTATTTCATGAAATATTGTTAGATGCAGTTGGGAATAACATAATACAATGAATAATAATGTTTGTATTCTGTTGCAAAATTTATGTTTAATTTGGGTGTTGCTATTCTTAGTTAATGTTAGAGGATTTGCTTTTTAAAAATTTACTGGCAGTTACAGATACATTGGGATAGAACCATGGAAATATCCATATAACATTCTATTAATGTAGCAGACCGATTGCAAGAAGATTTAATTTTTAAAAATGCAATATATACCTTTGCCAGGCCAGTCACAAACAAAAAAGGTATCTAATTAGGAGCTTCTTCAGCACTTTTATTTAAATGGATTGAGACACTTATTGAAAGAAATTTGTAGTCCAGGAAGGACTTCTCATACTGGTACAACAAGCAAGGGACATAACTGGGACCAGAAGCTTGCAAGAATGAAAACTGGTCTTCCCATTCAAGAAATGGAATTGGGTTCCTGAGCTGTGTCTTTGTATTTTAGGTAGGATGGAGTGGAGAGTTGATCGGTCAAGGCACAGATTAGACAGAACTCCCTCTTCCCGCAGGAGTTTGCCTGTCCAACAAGCACGATTCAGGGTGAGTTAGTAAATGCCAAGGAATTTCTTGACATCAGGGCATTAGTTCCAGAAACAGTGGAAAGTTACAGAGGCTTTGTTTATGAAAGACGTCAATTCGATTTATGAGAGAGGGAAGAGTTTCTACCTTCTTTCACTTTTGTTTTCAGTATATGGGGCTGTCTGTTTTGGTTTCTTTGGTCTATTTCTAGCAGACAAAGCTCTGAATTTCACACTTGAAGTGGTCATTTTTAATATGAATATCATTTCCATACAGTCCAAAATATATGGTCTTCACATATTGATTTGTGTGATGAATTCAGATGGACCTCTGCATTTGTGTGATGAATTTGCATGATTTCTCATGATATGCTTGAAGTGAAAAAATTCCTTTTCATTCTGATATTTACCTATGATCATTTGACACATGTTATACCATGGAAGGACTGTATTTACTGCATTTCAATTCTATACTTCCATAATCATAAGATTCTCAACAATGTAACAATCATAAAGCATCCATGGTAAGAAATAAAATATTCATGGTGCAAAAGATTAAAATTCAAAGGCAACCAACAAGGCAGGCTATAAATGGAACGACACACAAAAAGCACATTTAAAAGATGTTATTATCTTAACTAAGTTTTCTTTTAAAAAAACCTCCAAAAGAGTTTTGTCTTCTTGATTCTGTAATGCCATCAATATTAGAGCAAGTCAAACTTAAAAGGAAAGTTTGTTCCATAGCATGGGGGCTATGATGGATTACTAAGGCCATCACCCAACTTCACTTAAGTAGGAGATCACAAGCAATTTCTCCTGGGGTGTGCATGTCATGGTTTTATGTTAGCTGGAGGAGATGGTTCAAAGGTATCTTAGTTCCAAGCCATCTATAGTTTATTGGTCAAAACCAGGATTTCAGATTGTACCCAAAAACCTTTTGTGAGCCAATGCAAGGCTTGCACCCAAGATACTATATCCTCCTGACAACTAGTGCCCAATAAGAAACAAGCTGCAGCATTTTGTACCAACTGCATTTGCAAAGTGATCTTCAAACCCTTTGTAGAGTACACTTGCAGTAGTCCAGCTGGGCAGTGATCACAGTATGAATTATTGTTACAAGACCTTCCCAATTCATGTAGGGCCATTACTGATGCACCAGTGGAGTTGGGCAAAGGCCATCCTGACCACAGCTGCCATGTGATGTCGTGCGGCAGGATCATCATATGTAAAATAGCCCTGCATTTAGCAAATGTTGCTTTCTTATCTTCTACTTTATTTGTATCCTAATTAGCATGTTTACTGTTATATATCCTCCTGTCTTATCTTAGGAGTCGGGTTTGTGGAGTACCTTAACTATACTATCACTGTTTGCTGGGACACTCATCACAACTTCGGGATGTCTGGTCAGCTCTGCCTCTAAGCAACAAAGCCGCATTGAACCACAATCTCTGGCTGCATGGAACCAGCAGAGTGGTAGGGACCTGGTATTTTTCCAGGGAAAGTGGCTTGGGGAGGAGGGTGCTTCATTTGAATTCTTGATCCAAGTCAATTGGATTTTTGAGATTTCCTTTCTCCAGATGGTCATATGGGTTGAGGAATGTATTTTCTTCAAGATTTATGCCCTTTTTTGTCTTAGGAACACTCATCCTGAATTATTCTTTTCTCCTTGGGAGGAAGAATTAAGACCCCTCTCCCTTTTTCTTCCAGTGAAAAACATAAGCATTCGAGACTTGAGCACATCAGGATTTCTCAGGTTTGAGCGTTCCCGACCACGCTCAAGATTTGCCAGGAGAAACTCCAGAATGCCTGCAAATGGTCGTTGTCGCTTACATAGCCTCTCAATCAAAGTGCAGGATCTGGGGCTTGGCTATGAAACGAAGGAGTTTGTTTTGTTCAATTATTGCAGTGGGACATGTGACCGCACTAACTATGATGAAGTCATGAATTATATCATGCGGCAAGGTGTTATTGGGGCCAAGTATAAGAATTCTGTTTCTCAAGTTTGCTGCCGACCTATCAAGTATGAGAACTTCTCTTTCCTGGATGTGTACAATGTCTGGCAAACTGTGCATAAAGGTTCAGCAGTTGAATGTGATTGTGTGGGCTAAATATGTTATCTGTTCAGAGCTCCCGGGGTTTATGAATTGACATATCCTTGTTCATGCTACAGAGAGATCATAAAAGATAGATATAAGAGATCATAGACAGCCAATTTGGCCTAGTGGTTAAGGCATCAGGCTAGAAAGTGGGAAATGGTGAATTCACATTCCACCTTAACCATGAAAGCCAGCTGGGTGACTTTTGGGCCAGTCGCTCTCTCTTAGCCCAACTCACCTTACAGGGTTGTTGTTGTGGGGAAAATAGAAGGAAAGTGTGTTCACTGCCTATTTGTAAAAATGATAAAGGCGGGATACAAATAAATAAAATAAAAATAAGCCTGCTCTGCCGGTAAGTGGCAGCAGGAGGAAAAATAAACTTCACACTAGCGCTTTCCAGTCCAGATGTGAGGAATGAATGGACAATTAACAAGAGTGAAGCATAGTATGGTTGGCCTAAATATATCTTGGCCTTCTTTAAAGAGCATTCACCTCTCATCAGTGATGTTAGTTATACAGTCATGTGAAAAAGAAAGCACACCCTCTTTGAGTTCTAGGATTTTACGTATCAGGACATAGTAAAAATAATCTGGTCTTTAGCAATTTTTAAAAAGAGGTAAATACAACTTCAGATGAACAACACATGACATAGTATACCATGTCATCATTTTTTTTAATAAAAAGCCAAAATGGAGAAGACGTGTAAAAAACTAAGTATGCCTTATGATTCAATATCTTAGCAGCAATAACTTTTTCATTAATCATTTTCTGTATGACTTTTATCAGCCTCTCATATTGTTCTGGAGGAAGTTTGGCCTGCTCTTCTTTACAACATTGTTTCAGTTCATTGAGGTTTGTGAGCATTTCTTTACACACAGCTCTCTTGAGATCCTGACACAGCATTCAATTGGGTTGATGTCTGTACTTTGATTGGGCCATTGCAACACCTTGATTTTTTTTTTAGTCATTCTATTGTAGATTTGTTGGTGTGTTTGGGATCGTTGTCTAGTTACATGGCCCAATGTCGGCCAAGTTTTAACTGTTGGACAGATGGCCTCACATTTGATTCTAGAATACTTTGGTATACAGAGGAGTTCATAGTTGATTCAATAATTACAAGGTGCCCAGTCCTGTGGTTGCAAAACAAGCCCAAATCATCACCTCATGCTTGATGGTTAGTATCAGAGGTTTGTGCTGATATACTGTTTGGTTTTCACCAAATGTGGCACTATGCATTACGGCCAAACATCTCCAGATTGGTCTCATATATCCAAAGGATAGTGTTCCAGATGTTTTGTGATTTGTTCAGATGCAACTTTGCAAACCTAAGCCATTCTGCCATGTTCTTTTTAGAGACAAGAGTCTTTATCCTGGCAACCCTTTCAGACAAACCATACTTGTTCAGTCTTTTTCTAATTGTCATGAAATTTAACTTTTAACATGCTAACTGAGGCTTGTAAAGTCTGAGATGTAACTCTTAGATTTTTTGCAATTTCTCTTGGCATTGCACAGTCTGACCTTAGGGTGAATTTGCTGGGACATCCATTTCTGAGAAGATTGGCAATTATCTTGGAATATTTTCTGTTTGGGAATAATCATCCTCATTATAGAATGGTGGATTTTAAATTGTCTAGAAATGGCCTTATAACTCTTCCCAGGTTGACTGGAGAGCAACAGTTGCTTCTCTAAGATCATTGCTGATGTCTTTCCTTTTTGGCATTCTGTTAACACAAACCTCAATACTGGAGACCAGCAAACTCTTAAAACTTTGGTTTTATAGAAGTAGTCACACTTGCTGATGGCCAATTGATCAAGGTCATTTGATTAGCAGCACCTGGCTACTATTTAGCCTCTTCATACCTCTTGAAGCAGTAAGAGCACATGGATTCTCCATTTTGTAAAATAAACGATGGCATGGTGTATAATATGTCATGTATTGCTGTTCATCTAAGGTTGTGTTTACCTACTTTCTAAGGGCCAGAAAGGATTTTTACTATTCCTGATATGTAATAACCATATAGGCTGTAGTTTCTTTTTTGCATGAATCCAGAATGAACATTTCTCCTTTAAAGATTGGTCTGTCGACAGTGTTGTAAATCTTCTTACCTATCAAGCCTTTTGTCCCACTGAAGAAAAAGCATTGGAAATTCTCACACCTTATTCAAGAGATAGGGGTGTGGCATTTAGCTCGAGATACTTGTAATACAACGGATCAGAAGGCTGTTCACTAGGTCATGTCATCTTCTGCAATTCTCTCCCCAGTTTTTATTTGGGCCCACCATCTGCCTTTTTTTTAGAAACATGTTCTGACTGCATCTAGGTAGGAGCAATTGTGAATAAGCATGAAGGACAATTTTGCAAGCCTATTTAGTGCCCTGAACATTCAGTAGTCGCTCCAACCTTGTGACCTGTGCTAGAATAATCAGTGCATTATCTGAGGATTGAATAACATTGTGGTTTGTTTGGGAGAAGCTTGATGATTGCAACCATCAGCCTCATCCAAAAGTTTTTCAGGTGAGAGCCTATCTTAGCAGAACAGGGTAATGGATGTACAAAAGGCCAAATTTGATGTGTTTCTCAGAGCTACCAGATCTGGGTTAAGGAAGGTTGATGCCATCAAGTAGTTATCAGTAGTTATCAGGATTTTTGCAAGTCGGATGTGGAAGCACAGTCAAGGCCTCTGCAAGTAGAAATGGGGCTTGGTATAAAATCAGTGTTGGCAGTGGCATATTGGTGTACAACATGCACAGACACACTAGCAATGGTTTGGAGCTTGACTAGTGCACTTACCAGGTTGGCAATGAAAACAGCAATGATTTTCAGTTCTGGTTCAACCATTATTTAGTACCAGCAGAGTGGGAACCCACCTGCTTTAGAAGTGACATTTTCTAAACCTATTTAGAAAGTTTAAATTTTCTCATCCAACTTATTTATTCTATAAGTTATTTATTTATTTGTACCCCACTCATTCCCTGGTGGCAACCTATTTATGAAGCTGACAGCGGGTCTGGTATACATTAGAAACTGATGCTATGCCCTGGCCTAGGATCAGCAGTTACTATTCCCTCCCACCCCACCCCACCCCACTTTCCCCACTTGGCCTTAACAAGGGCATTTCCTATTCCTCCTTTCCTGATTTTGTATTCTTTGTCCTCTATTTGCATTGGGATAAACTCTATTTTTGTACAACAACAACTTCCTGTAGCAATAAAGCCTGCGAAAGCAATGCAAACTTGGCTTATGTGTATGCTTATATAAGAGGGAACTAAAGAACAAGAAGAAATACCAATTATTAAATATAGTTCTACAATTTACACGAGTCAAATTTTGCTTAAGGTTTCAAATAAAGCATTATAAAACATTATCAAATACTGAAAAAGCAGCTCTAGATATCTTTGCTTCTCTGAAATGTTTAAAATACACTTTCTACATTTTAATAGTGTACTAGCTTCATGTCCCCCAATTTCTAGATCTGGCTATAACACCTATTGTACCCAATCACTATTTTGGCTAGATGAAAGGTATTGTAGTTAAACATACTTGGAAAATAAAGTGTGAAAATTTAACTTTTTCTCCTCATCTATGAGGGAAAGATGAAAAGGCTCACTTTAGACCAGGGCTGTCAAACTCCTGGCCCTTGGGCCAGAAGCATCACACGCTGGCAACACCCTGTTTAACGAAGGGGGAAAACATCCCAATACATCATGTGATGGCGCCCTGACGACACGAGTTTGACACCCCACCCTGCTTTAGACTGTACCAATCTTGCCAAAAATACTGCAGGGATGAGCCCAGGCAGTCACCAGCAAATCAATGTTGACTCAAAGGAACCCATACTCCTGCAAAAGGTGGCATACAGCAACAATGAACATTTTTACAAATTTTCTTTTTCTTCTTACACTTTTTCAGAATATTTTTAAAAAGCACAATTTTAATTAACGTTCCTTCATTTTTCAGATTTAAAAGATTTCCCTTCTTGGCTAGAGGTAGAAGAGAGCATTTTTTTTCCTTCTGGGATCCTTCATCACCACATCAGTGCTTTGAATTTGGCCATATGATTACTGGTTAAAAGTCAGTACTACTAGCCTAATATCCCGAATACTCAGGGAGACAGCTATATTACTTTGCAACAGCCAAAATCATTTTTGGTACTCAAAAAACTTAACACATTTATTAGGCATACTGTACCATATCAGAATTGAATAAATCCAGATAGCTGCTAGATGACATTTTCTGTATTACTCTGTGGTGACATAGTGGTTGTCTAAATTCTGAAGCCTAGAAATGCCGGCCTAGCTATGGCTTAGCTTCCATGGTATTCTGGCAGCTGCCTAATTTCCTTGTTAAACCTGAAGTCTTTGTGATCAGGTCTCATGCAACTGATTTTTAATTAAACACACAATGTATATTTATAATTCATAAATAATCAAGGGACTGATGTGCAGCTTCATAGAAAAAAGTCCGTGATGCTGCCAGTTGAATGTTTATTCACACTTTTTAACCATGTCATTGGCTAGCTTGGCAATATAGCTGCATGTAGCTTAAACATCATTTATATTTGAAACTATTGTGCAGCAAAGTTGTACCATCTACCTTTACATATAGTAGATGTTAATCCTAATAACTATCTGACAAATCAGATGTTAAAGTAAATGCCATCCTTTATGCCCACACACATAAAAATACCTTGTTTGGTTTAACCAATTGGTTAGACTATGCTTTAAATGTTTAAAAGGTTATAAAAACTGAAATAATAATCATAACTTTTTTTCCTGTATCTGTACAAGTGGTCCTTGACTTACAACAATTGGGACCAGAATTTCCATTGCTAAGCAAGGCAATGATTAAGCTGTGAGTGATTTTTTTCCATGGTTGTTAAAGAAATCACTGCAGTTGTTAAGTGAATCCTGCAGTAATCAAATCCACCTTCTCCCATTGACTTTATCGGAACCCAGCTGGGGAGGTCATAACTGGCAATCACATGACCCCAGGAGCTGCAACCATTGTAAATATATGCCAGGTGCCAAACACCCAAATTTTGCCAATGTGACTATGGGGACGTGACTGGGGATGCTGGATTGGTCAGAAATGTGAAGATTGGTTGTACATCACTTTTTTCTGTGCCATAGTAACATTGAATGATTGTTAAATGAATGGTTGTAAGTCAAGGACTACCTGTAATTA